AGAGAGGGTGGATTTAAGTCAGCCTTTTGGGTCTCGTGTCTGAGCTGGCTAATGGGGCTGTAAGTAGCTGGTCAAGGCTGCGCCGAGCTTAAGCCAAGGTTTCGTAAAGCCTTCCTGGTTGACTATTAGCCAGGGAAGTCATAAATGCCAGCCTTGGGAAGCTGGTTTACCTTTGTTCCTATTTCCCCACTGCTTATTAATACCCTTCAATGGCTTCCCTTGTTATACCAGAGCGTGATGTTGTGAGCGCTAGGAGGTGAAAGCAGGGTTGTGGGGGGGGGAGATGTCGGCGGGGCCAGTTCCCTGCACGCCCTGGACAAGAGTGTGCTCAGCGGGGCTTATAGTGGGCAGCAGGGCTGACAGCTGACTTTTAAAAAAATATATATATTCATATATATAATCCTGAGTCAAAGGAACCAGGCGGAGCCCCATTTGGAGACCGAGAACCAGTGGCTTGGAAGAGTTTCTCCATGAATCAGGACAGAGGCGGGCCCCGATCCTAGGCATTGTGAGGCAGCTGCTTCAGGTGGCAGAGGATTGGCAGCAAAGTGCCCAACAACAGAGCGGGGTACTCTGCCCGCCCGGCCCTCGGCAGACCTCAGGAGCACTGCTTTTAGACTCTCATATCCCCCCCGTTAAAGAGTACAGTACGGGAAGGAAAAGAGAGCCTCCTTGTTTTCCATCTCAGTGTTGCAGCCTCTTCTAAAAATTAAATTAGGTTTATTATTGTCCGGTTTGCAGGGAAGTTTTTAACCGTCCGGAGATGACTCTGAAAGGTATCCTTTCACTGGCTGAGGGCTGTCGCCCCAAGAAGCCTGCCTTTTGCTCTGCAGCAAAGGGGGTGGAGTGGGGCAGGACTACTCTTGAGGAAGAACTACAACCAGCCCCCCCCCCATTAGTCAGGCTGGGAGGTGTGGATAGGAGTTGGTGTCCAACGTTTGCTGTGCCAGGTTCCTTTGCCTTGCCTTGGCCTAGAAATAAAGATGGCGCCTCGCCGTTCTTGCTTCTTCCTATGCCGTGTATAAATCCAGAGACAGGAATGTTATGTTTTAGAAGTAATTTGTGTGTCTTATCATTTCTTAGCAGCCAGGGTGGCTTTATTGGTGGTGGCCCCTTGATCCCCGTAAGCAATCCATTATTAACACTGAATTGTCACCCCCAAGCAAGAAACAGAAGAGGAAGTGCTCTCTGGTTCCCTTTAGTGGCCAGTTCTGATACTGCACCTTAGTAATATTTATAATTTTTTTATTACTATAACACCCCTCGGTGTCCACCAAGGATGGGCAGGATGGGCAGGAGAGCTTTATGAAACCCCAGGCTCCCTTCCTAAAAGCTGTAGCTAAGGGAGCCCCTGCAAAAAATAAGGAAAACTCTCTCACTCCAACACACTCAGTGGCTCTTGCAGCGACGAGCAGAAAAGTCACATTTTTTCCTTGACCGGGAACGCAGTCCTTTCCCTTGCCCAGGAGGCCTCAGTTTCCTGTTCGGAAAACATTTTGGGTGCGAGATGCTTTCCCAGTTTTGTTTCTTTCCCCTTTCGCAACCCTAAAATCTGATGACCCTTGATGGGGATTTTCTCTCTTCTCGCTCCCCCACCTCACCCTGGGCAGGAAGAAGAGATACCAGAATTAGAAATAGATGTTGACGAGCTTCTGGACATGGAAAGCGACGAGTCCCGGAGTGCCAGAGTGAAGGTAGGGGGTGTGTGTTTGTCTGGATCTGGGGTGGGTGGGTGGAAATCTCCCTTTGCGGCTGCTTGGCCACCAGCTCTCTTGAAGGAGGGGGCTTTTTGGCCAAAGAAGGGAGCAAACACACAGAGGTTGTGTGACAGCAGCAGATTGAAGCAGATCGAGCCAAGAAGTGTGTGTTTTTTTGGGGGGGGGTTCCAGTCTGGCCAGATTAAAAGGGGGCGGAGGTCCTTTTGAAAGCTAAAAAGGAGCCAGCCTGAGAGACCTGGGTTGCGTGCGCAGATCAATCAAAATCCGCATTAGGGGTCATCGCTTTGATTAGACCTCGTACCTTTTATCAGGTCACAAAGTAAGGGGGTGCAAGTTTGCGAAAATCAGAAAGGTGCCCTTTGGGGATTGCACCCCCCCTCCCCAGTGCATCTACGCCCATCAGCCCCTTTGTTGAAAGTGGGGCGGAGGGGAGGAAACGTCCCGGTCGCTTGAAACCTATCGGGACTTGGTGGCTGTTCTGAGAGCGAGGGGGTGCGGCGTTTGGATCGTCGGCTTGACTTTATAAATGTCTTTTTCAACAGGAACTCCTGGTTGACTGTTACAAACCCACAGAGGTGAGTATTTGTGGCAGACACACAAACACACACACCCTTTTCCCACGGCGGAGCGTGTTCCCACGCTCTTTCCAGCCGCCCCAGGGCACGGGAGGTGGGAGAACCCAAATATCTCCCTATTTCCCAGCGGCTGCGATGATGCCCGGGGAAGGCAGCAGCTGCCTCCTCGCCCTCTCCTCCTCCTCCTCCTCCTCCTTCCTCCCCCAGCAGGGAACCGGCTCCTCTCCCTCCTGCCACCTGTTAAGGGTCTGATCAGCTGCCTTCTGCTCCCTTTTGCCAGCTTCCCCCTTGCCTGGCCCACAGAAGCAGAGCTTCTTCTGGGGGTGCAAAGAAAGCCGCTGTTTTGAAAGGAGGGGGGGATCTTGGCTTGGCCTTATTTTGCTGCTGGGAAGAGGCTTAATCAGCAGCCGGCCGTCAAAAGGGTGATGGCTGGAGTCGGCTGGAAGCAGCCCTCCGAATGTTGCTGGACTACAGCGGCTTCTGTCCACTGCACCCGGCAGAGCCGTCTGCGTGTTTTAAGGCAGATTCCCCAACAACTCTTGCATCTCCTCACTTTTAGCTGGACTGCCACTGATGCTGGAGGTTCTAAAGCAGGAGTGGCTAAGGAGAAATTAATAGTTACCACCTGGATGGCTCTGGAAGCTTCCCAAAGGGGCACAGGGATGCTAGTCTCCCTCACTCGTTTGTCCCCGGGATCTGTAATCTAGAGATAGACTGCACTTGGATATGGAGGTTCCATGTAGCAATCATGGCCAACCATGGCCTCTGAACTAGGGGATATAAGGTATGCAAAATGATTCAGAGATCAAGAATCGTCGTCATCCTCTTAGAACTGCAGAGCCGGAAGGGACCCTTTGGATCATCCAGTCCAGCCCCTCTCAAGGAGGCCCAGTGGGGGAATCGAACTCCCAACCTCTGGCTCCACAGACAGGGACCTCAACCCCTGAGTAATACAGAACCTCGACAGCTCGGGGTTTGCATCAAAAGAACCGGGGGGTGGGGGAGCGATTCGCAAACCCGTAGAAACTTGTGCCTTTGTGCGGGAAATATTGCTGTGCTAACAGTAACGGCTCTCTTTCCTCTTCCCCCCCATGCGCTTCTAGGTTTTTGTAGCCGATTTGCTAGACAAGATCCGCGGCATGCAGAAGTTAAGTACCCCCCAGAAGAAGTGATCTGACGACCGGTCGCTCTCCCATCCACACGGCCTACCCTTTGTCACCGAAGCTCTGGATCCGCAGGGCTTAAGGAGAGAGAGAAGGGGTGTGTGTGTGTTTCTCTCGCAAGGGTCTGGCGGGAGGGAGAATCCGCTACTCCCACCCACCCCTCCAGAGCAGGAAGACACTCCGTTTTGGGATGCTTTGATAATCAAACCTGTCTGGACAACCTTTTTCAGCAATATCAACCCCGTTCCTCCTGGTCGGTCCCCAGTTAGACATACGGGGAGGTGGGCTGGGGAGGAAAATTCGTTGTTCTTCAGGGGGAAGATGGGAGGGACAATGTAAGGGCTTGTCCTCTTTTTTTTTTTTGGTTCCTTTTTCTTTTTAGAATGTTTGGGGTTTGGGGTTTTTTTTAATTATTGTGTTTTTATATAAATTTAATAAAGATGCTTTGAGAACAAGGGTCTGATTTTTTTTGGATCGGGAACAAAAAAACCACAGCGGGCAGAGAATTCCAGCTTGTGGAGGGCAAGGAGGTTAAGAATCTGCTTGTCTAAAGCAGTAATGGGGAAAGGGTAGCCCTCCTGGGATGGCTGGACTACAACTCCCATCTGCCTTAAGCAGGTTTGTTGTAGTGGTAGGAGACGGGTGGCTTTTCAGAGGTTGGACCACAATTTCCCACCTGTCCTGGCCAACACTATGATGGGGATGTTGGGAAAGGAAGCCACCACTGCATCTGAAGGCCAAAGAGGTGGTCGCCTGCTGTGTCAAACTTGGCTGAGCCCGCCAAATCTGCCCAGAGGGTTATAAATTTCCAATCTTGTTTAGCTGTCCGGGGAGGGGGGGTAGCCAATAGGCTTAAAATGGGAGCGGAAAGAGACAGGAAACACATTAACTTAAGAAAGCCCAGTTTCTCACCTATCGCGCTTGGAGTCCAGTTTGTGGATTGCAACGCAAGATGGCTTGAAAGAGTAACTGCGCGATTCACAACATGGGTGTTCAGAAACTTTCTTTGGCCACCGCTGCCCGCAATAGTGTGATGACCAGCTCACCTTCTTCCTGGCACCCCACCCCCACCCCCCTCCAGCACCTCCCTTATCAATGTCCATACACCAGGTTGAAACCTTCGGGTCCTCTTACAGCTGGAATTGAGGGGGGCAAGTTTTAGAGATGCTTCCGCTAAATAAAAGTTGTGTCTTTTAAGGTGCCACAAGATTTTGGCTCAGCAGACTGTGTGTGTGTGTCTGGTGTCCAGACTCCTTAATCTTTCCTATGCATTAAATCAATCAATCAGTGTCCCTTTGAACGACCCATACCGCTGGCAAGCAGAAGGCAAGGGACATCGGCCAGGCTGGTCACCGGTGCCTTGGAAGCGGTGGTGGTGGTTGGTGATGGGATTCTGTCTGTGCTCTCCCGCCCCAGAACCTCATCGGCTGCCTTATTAAATGAAGTGGAAAGTGCATCGCAACAGGCAGGCGGCAAGCAGGCCTGTTGCTGAGCCCCAGGTCCCCCTGCGAGCAACGCAGCTGCTGCCGCGGCTGCCCCTGTGGGTTTGCAGGCTGCCTCGCCTCTTCCATCCCTTCCCCTCCTCTCCTCCCTCCCCTCCCGCCTGTGGCTGGGCTGAGAACGTAGGGAGGAAAGAATGTCTTTGGGGGCCTGGAACTAATCGGGGCTTCGTGTTTCCTGCCTGAAGTCACCAGGCAAAACGGCCCGGCCCTCGCCCCGAGGAGAGTCAGCCGGCTCCTCCCGCCTTGGCTAGAACAAGGCTCCTTCGGGGAGGCGGTGCTCCCAAACTGGCACCTTGTTCAAACCATGGATGCTTGTTCACCGAGCAGCCGGGGCAGGCCTGGGAGGGAAGCCGAGAGCATGCGGGCAAGGGTGCCAGGGATCACCGCAGACTCCCAAACAGCCCTCTGTGCACAGACCACAGGAGCCCGGTCCCGAGGGTGGGGCAGCCCCATCGCTTTCGGGGAAGACGCCGACGTGCCCACAAGTTCCAGCTTGCTCCGGCTCTCGGGTGCCAACCAGGCAACCCTGCTGTTGCTTCTGGGCGAGGCTCTGGCTCGCTCAGGGCTCCTCCCTACATGTGGTTGCACAATTTTTGGGTGGTTCTTTTTTTAAAAAAAAAAGAGCAGGTGTCCCTTTGGTTGACTTCAGTGGTCAAGCCTTACATTGGAGACCAAGACCAAGATCATCTGCACTCTTTGTGTTTCTGACCGCCACGCATGGATGTGACAGCTAGACCGTCAAGACAGGAAGAAAGCGGATTTGCTGGAAGGGTGGTGCTGGAGGAGACACATTGGAGACCAAGACCAAGATCGTCTGCACTCTCTGTGTTTCTGACCGTCACGCAAGGATGTGACAGCTAGACCATCAAGACAGGAAGAAAGCTGATTTGCTGGAAGGGTGGTGCTGGAGGAGAGCTTTGTGGATATCCTGGAGTGCCAGAAAGACAAGAGGCTCCACAAGATCAAATCAAGCCTGACCTACAGTGGTGCCTCGCTTAATGACGCCAAGCCTGAACTACAGTGGTGCCTCGCTTAACGATGAGAATCCGTTCCAGGAAAATCGCCGAAGCGAAAACATTGTAAAGCGAAATAAAAAACCCCACTGAAACGCATTGAAACCCATTCAATGCGTTCCAATGGAGTAAAAACTCACTGTCCAGCAAAGATCTTCCATACGGCAGCCATTTTTGCTGCCTGTATAGCGAGGAATGCGTCCCTAAACACAGGGGGGAGCCATTTTAATTACCCGGCGGCCATTTGAAACCGCTGATCAGCTGTTAGAAAAAGATTGTTTTGCAAAGAATCAGTTCCCGAAGCAGGGAACTGATCATCGCAAAGCGAAATTCCCCCATTTAGAACATTGTTTTGCGATCGCAAGATCGTTGTAAAGCAGATTTGTCGTAATGCGGGGCAATAGTAAAGCGAGGCACCACTGTATCCATTTCTTGAGGGGAAAAAAATTTTAAAAAATGAAATAGGGGCTGTCCTACATCGGGGATTGTCATGAGAAGGCAGGACCCTCTGGAAAAGACAATCATGCTGGTAAAAGTGGAACGCAGCAGGAAAAGAAGACAGCCGAATATGAAGTGGATTGACTCCCTTAAGGAAGCCACAAGCATGAGTCTGCAAGAGATGAGCAGGGCAGCTGAGGACAGGGCCTTTTTGAGAGTTCTTATTTATAGAAATTGCCGTAAGTCAGAGGCGACTTGATGGCACTTGACATATCAGAGAGAGAGAGGAAACCTAAAAGCTCCTGTTTTTGAAGCCTGAAACAAAGGCAGCTAAAGTCAGGGCGATCAAGAAACATTTGGCCCTTCTGACATTGTCGGGCTGTTGCTCCCATCAGGCTTGGCCGTACAGCCGACTGTGAGGGATGATGGGAGCCGTGGTCCAGGGAGCTTTAAAGGGCTACGGGTCTTGCCTCTGTTCTCCCCGGGGACCCAAACACAGATCTTCCCAAATGGAATCGGTTTCACTTTGCTAATCTCCCTTTCAAAACACAGGCACTCATTCCGCTTTCTGCCATCTAAAAAAAAACAATCGCAGAGGTGCTGCCTTATACTAAAAACTGGGGACTTTCGACCAGCCACCTTCTCTCAGCCTGGCCTACCTCATAGGACTGTTGTGCGAATCAAGTAGAAAGAAAGCAAACTATATACGCCGCCTTTAACTCCCTGGAAGAATGACTGGATAGGCAACAAATGAACGTTCTACCATTCTAAGGGACCTCAAAGGTCATCTAGCAGAGTCTAAATGCCAATATTGGGGGGGGAGGGTGTTGTCATGTAACCTCTATTATCCACAACCTGAATGACCACAGGCTTTTAAAGCCAAGAGACTCATTTCGGGACGTTGTGTCACAGTCACCGCAACAAATCTGGTCGTGCGACTCCAGGGTGGCGACATGCTAGTAAATATGCTTCTTTGTTCCCGCAGAGCGCTAGGAGGAAGAGTTATGCCCCCTATGCAAATCATGCTAACGACATAATTTATGGAGATTGCAAAAACGGGCGAAAGGGGGCATGTGTTTTGTCTCTTTGAGGCAGCGCGCACAGAAGCCTCAACTGTTCCCCTGTACGCTGAATAAAAAAAGACTAGGGCGAAGACTCGGTTTGCAAACCGCCCCGTGTCCGCCCCTCCCGGATCCTAAGGAATGACAGCCAGTCCTTTGGAGCCATCCACACCATTCCTCGCTACAACTGTTCTTTTTAACGCTAGACAATGCTGGCAGGACTCCAGAACTCCGTCCGCACCGCTTGTCTCGATAAGAAAGCGCACACCCTAAATGCCTCATCTCCGGGTTATGCTCAGCCACGCAAACTCCTCCGTTATCTCCCCCTCTCACCACGTTGCGACCGCCGGGAACTTCCGTGCGCTCTCTCTTTCTCTCTCTCAAGTCCCTGTTGTCTTTCAGCAAACTGGCTTTGCCACCACCAAGCCGGCGCCGGCTCCCCACCCGCCCTCAGTCACCTTTTCCTCTCTCCGTTCCAGAAAACCTCGGGGCACCTTAAAAAAAAACCCTTAAAAATCAAATACTCCCAGAATTCCTTGAGGATCCTGAGATAGTTTCGTCCCACAAATCTTTCCACCCTCCAGCAGGCATGGGAACGCTGTCCGATCGGATCGACTGTGGGCCAACCTACTAAACACGCTGACTTTAGGCAAGGATGCAAGGACACTGCTAGCCAGATTTCCTGGGACTACTAGCCTCATCTTTTCCAGCAGGCTTCCTGTGGCTTGAGACTTCCTTCCTAGCCTGCTCTTCCTCTATCGCGCGCAAAGCCTTCTCCCTGACCGTGTCCGTACGACCGCAGTGAGTCAAACGGTGTCTCCGTGCTGTTTTCTGCCCAAGCCAACTATCGCTGCCGACAGAAACACGCTAAACCGAACCGAAGTGGCTAAAACACTCTTTCCCTTTCATGGGCTCGCAAAGCAAATTCCTGGATAAACCACCCTGCCTTTTGGAGGAAGATGGGGGTGAATTTAACTATTCATCTTAAAAATAAAATTAAATGCTATTTTCAACCACCAAGTGCTCAGAAGAGAAGGCCAGAGGAGATAGCTACACTCGTTAATTTTTCCTCAAATGCCTTTCTGCTCATATCAACTTGGGGGAAAACTACAGCAGGATCCTCATTATCTGCAGGATCAGTATCCACGGTTTCACTTATCCACAGTCTGAAAACAGTAATTATTAAAAGAAAAAGCCCAGTAATAGTATTTCCAGGATGTCATTACCAGAACTGGCTACTAGAAAGAACCAGAGACAATGCGATATGTAGGGGCTGCTATTATCTGCGGGTTTGTGGCATCCACGGCAAGCTCAGCACTGAACCCTTGCCAATACTGTGGTTCTACTGTAATCTGATGGTAGTGGCTGCAGTTTCTATACACCCAATCAGTCGCTTCCATCTATACCTGCTAATCCAGAGGCAGAACGTCTACCAACTGTGTTCTGCCACCCATAGCATGCCTAAATATGGTTGCTGAGAAAACACCACCTCCTCACTCTCCTGATGCAACAGTGGTGTTTATTTAATTGTTTTCAAATACTTTTTAAATAATTTATTGTTGCCAGCTTTTAATTTTGCTTTTTTACTGATGTAAGCCACCTCGGTTCCTTCTTTAGGAGAAAGGCGAGGGGGAAAATATTTTAAATAAAATGAAAATGAAAAACCTAGAAGGTGCTTCCATTTTCATAAAAGACAAGGGACGGCCATGGCAGTGCTATGAAGTGGGGAAGAGGGCATCTCAATGGGATCTAATGAAATCTGACCTTGGCCCTTAAGCCACGTAAATGACCAATTACCAACGGTGGAAGGGGCCAGTACCAGAAGAGAACAAGCCACCGACCTCCTCTCTCGCCCTTTTCTCTCCTTCCCTCACCACCTAGGCCCACCCCCAGACCACCACCACCACCACCTTTAGATCCCCTGGCACACGGGCTGACATGGAGGTGGGAGTTTTACCAACCATGTTCTACCAACAGTTTCGTGGTTCCTTCCCTCAAGGGTAAAGCCTGCTTCCGCAACCCTCTTTTTTCAGCAGGTGCTTCTCAAAGCACAAGGACTCGGCTGAACACGACACCCTCTAGGCCAGCCACCAATTTTAATGTATTTTTCCATGTATTATGCTTTTGTCTAAAATCTTTAGACTAAGAATTGAGGGTCGTATTATACACCTAAATAAAATGAAAATGAAAACCCTAGAAGGTGCTTCCAGGGATCAAAGCGATCCTGCAGCGCTTTGATCCCTTTCCCGCTACACTTGCTAAGCCCCACTTCAATTTCTTAATTTTGGATTAGAAAAGTGTGGTGGGGGGCGTCTTATACACAGAAAAATATGGTAATTCACAGCCGGGTAACCCATGGGCTCGCCTCTGCAGGCAGGACCCTCCTGACCCCGAAATCTGTTGCCGTAGTTGTTTGAAGCATGGAGAAAATTCCATTTCATGAGGCACAATCCTTCTTCCACCAAGGAGACCGGAGCATCAACCACAGTACAAATCGTGTCTGTGCTTTTATTTGGCCCATCTGTAATCAACAAATCCTGAGTCCCTTTTTTGGATTCCCTTCCCCACCAACTTCTCTCTCTCTCTCTCTCTTGCTCGCTCACTCGCTCTCGTGCCCCTCCCTCTGTGCACCCCCTCCCCCCAAAGCTACAATTCCTGCCGTCGCTCGATCTTCAGCAGCTCAACTTCGAAGATTAATGTCGCACCACCTGGGGGGGAAAAGCGCACAGAGGGAGAGAGAGAGGGGGAAAAAAAACCAAAAGCAGGCATGGCAGTAAGTCTATGGAGTGGAAGGGCCACCCCTCCCCTCCCCTGGAACAGGCACTGGAAAATCAGCCCAAAGTTTTCATAGACACACACACTGCTCCTTCCCTTCCACAAAAGCAGGCACGGCAGTAAGTCTATGGAGTGGAAGGGCCACCCCTCCCCTCCCCTGGAAAATCAGCCCAAAGTTTTCATGGGCACACACACCACTCCTTCCAGGACTGTGCCCTCCTATCTGGAAGACCAGCAGGGAGGGGGTGGATTAAGGGTTAAACAGGTTGTGCCAATCCTTCCCTTGGGCAGGAAAAAAGGGCCCGGCTAAGAAACAGAGGAAGGCCAGACATAAAACTATTTTGCCAGCCCTGTGCCAGATCTAGCAAGAGAAATGCCCAGAAAAGAGCAGGCCTTATGAGACTTACCTGGGATTTTGGGCGGTGCCCCCCGATCCCCATAACCTGCGAATGGAGCAAACAAAGAAGCAAAGTCACCCCAAAACATCACTACCTCTGTACACAAGTTTTGAAAAGTACTAAATGGTAGCGGCTTAGGAAGGGGTGAAGCACCACTGCTAGCTTCTGAAAAAACCAAAATGGAACAAAAATAGAATAAAAACTGCCAGTTATGGGATTAATGGGTTTTCAATGCATTGTAGGTCAATGGAGATTCGACCTACAGACTTTTCGACTTGCAGCCACCGTTCCAATACGGATTAATTCTGTAAGTAGAGGGTCTACTGTAGTGTCTTAAGAAGGGGTGAAGCACCACTGCTAGCTTCTGGCTATCATCATCCCATCATGTGCCCACTTTTGAACCCTAGTGCTGCCCTATCACCACCCCCACCTCACTGCCCACGTATCTGGCTCCTCACCCAGCTCAGAAGGAATCACCAGCTTCCTCTTCTCACCCTCGCACATCCTGAAAGGACCAAAGAAAGCGTTACATTCATCTCATTTGCCGCAAAATACACGCCACATTCCTGGCTTCGCCCTTAAAACAACAGCAACTAAACCCTATGAGGGCTAGAATCTTACTGCAACAGAATTTCAAATAAATCTGGCAAATCTGTGCTGTGCTGCCTTTTGTTCCTAAAAGGTGCCCAAGAGAACCGGCTATAAAGAGAGATGAGCCAGGATTCTCATGAAACAGTAAGAGTGCAGGAGAGGAAATCCACAAAGAGTGTGCACAATTTCGTGGGGTGTTTGTCACAAGTTCAATCACATATTGTGCCATTGATCGTCTGATCAGTCACATGACAAGACAGCCTACGAAAAGCAAGAAATGTTTCTTCAATTACCTTACGCGTCCAACAGCATCATGGCCAAAGACTGAAATTTCTTTATACTCCGTGCAGGTAACATCTACTAAGTTAGGCGTAAATCACAGAACCTTTTCTGTGGTAGCCTCAACCTTAATGAATTGCCCGACCTCATGATGGACACTTGGCTCTCGTTCTTTCTAGATGCTTTTAAACGGGTTGTAGCAACCAAGTCTTTAAACCTTAAAGACCTGGTTGCTACAGAGGTTTTTAATTTCTCTCTCTCCCAAAAATAGCAACACCATTGTGGTGACTTTAAATATTGCTTTCCTTAGCTGGATATTAATTCTACTGCTGTAATTTTAATGCTTAAAAGCTCTGTGAAGCATGTTGAGGAATGCACCTCGAAATGCTGCATAAAAATATGTCAACACACCAATAAATAAAAGCATACATACTTCTTCTCTCAGAAACAAGCAAATACAGCCTGAAATCCAGTAGTAAGTCACATCAAGAGTAGGCCCATTTGGTGGTTCACCTGTTCCATAAATTCCATGCATTCAATGGACCTATTCGAGTTGCAACTCACTATAGGGTTTCAGCAATAATGTTAAAAGACAACTAAAGCAGACTAAACCCACTGAATTACAGATTTAAAACGTAATGATTTAATCAGGTTTTTTTTAAAATTGCCTGCCAGAACACATGTGCTTTTAAAGGGTGGCAGAAGATCACAGAGGAGGACCCCCCCCGGGACAGAATTACTGGGTGCAATGCCAGAAGCCGCTGCCAGTGTCCCGGACAGAATTATGGGTGCAATGCCAGAAGCCGCTGCCAGTGTACCATCAAAGGGCTTAAATAAAGACTGGATAAGCACAATCCTGTTTTCCATTATTGGGCTCAGATTATGAGCTCCCTGCCACTTATTTGGGGGCCTTCTCTGTGGCTGCTCCCAAATTATAAAATGCTCTCCCTTGGGAAATCAGCTGAAGACCCACCTGATCAGGCAGACTTTTAACAATCATGACTGGGTCCCTTTTTTTTCAAAGTTCAGATCGTTTTTAACATTTTATATGTTTTTAATCATTCAGTGTATTTGCAGTTTTATAGTTCCATGTTTTTTTAAAAAAATGTATAACTGCTTGCGTTTTTAATTGTGTTCTTTTAATACGGTGAGTTGCCTTGAGTCCCCTCATCGGGAGAAAGGCAATCTATAAAGAATTTTAAAAAAATTAAATAAGTACAATTTAAAAGAGCCCCACAGGAAAAAGGCAAGTCTTCCCAAACTCTCCTGAACAAAGGAAGCCACGGTGGCAGACAGAGATGGGGGAAAGAATTCGTACCAACTTATCACAGGAGGTATTTTATCCCATCTTTCAAACTTGAGTGCTTCACAAAACAAGCCATCCTGCTGAAGCACCCCTAAGGTAAAGGTTAAGGTTCCCCCTGACAATTTTTGTCCACTCGTGTTCAACTCTAGGGGGCGGTGCTCATCCCCGTTTCCAAGCCATAGAGCCAGCGTTTTGTCCGAAGACAATCTTCCGTGGTCACATGGCCAGTGCGACTTAGACACGGAACGCTGTTACCTTCCCACCGAGGTGGTCCCTGTTCATCTACTCGCATTTCCATGCTTTCGAACCGCTAGGTTGGCGGGAGCTGGGACAAGCGACGGGCGTTCACTCCGTCGCGTGGATTCGATCTTACGACTGCTTGGTCTTCTGACCCTGCAGCAGAGGCTTCTGCGGTTTAGCCCGCAGCACCACCACGCTGTGGGTTAGCACCCCTAGCCTCCCTCAAAAGCAGAACTTCCCCCCAAAGTTACCCAAGCAGTCCTTGGTCCCAGCCTTTAATGACTTGTCCTGTCCCCAAGGAGAAGATAAAGGGCTGATCTCGAGCCAGGCTGCTGTCAAACTCTGTACCATCTTCCAGCTTTCCCTGCGAGGATCAGAGTTGGAATTTGTTTTTTAAAAAAAGAAAGAAGAAAAGATCCGAACAGCTTCTCAAGTAAGTACCATCTCCCCTCACCTCCAGTGTAGAGGCACAACACATGCAAAGATGCAGTTCACCCTGCATTCTTGGGAATGAAAGCCCTCAGGGTCCATTGCAGGCCACAGCTCCCCTTCAATGTGTGCAAAAAGTAGGCCATGCTCAAAAGTTATTGACCGGGATTTCATGACTGAACTGCCACTCCTGGATACTTCCAGGAAGAGGCACATCCAAAAGGCAGAAAGAGAGTCCTCAGCCACATATGGCCAACAAATCGCCCTTGGGCAAGCTAAGCGAATGAATGAATGCACAGAATTCTGTTCTTTGGTAGATAACGTTTTGCTGTAGAAATTTAAGAACGATGCTGGATTGGAACAAAGGTCCAACCGATCAGGGATTTGGTTCCCAACATGGGCCAACGAGATGCCAAGCAAGGTAGGAAGGCAAAATCCCCAACCAATTGTCTGGATATTATTCAGAGGGAGGTATCCTACCTTACGACATATTCATTATCTATGAACAGTCAGTACTCCATACATCCGTGTAATCCCTAACTCCATAGGGCCAGACACTGGGGTGCGGGTTTTTTTTTTCATTTAATATTTTTTAATATTTTCAGACCATGGATCAGTGAAACCATGGACACTGATCCCGCTGATACGGGGGTCCTACTGCAGCAACATTCATAGCCCACCTTCCTTTCCCTAAGTTTTCCTCTCTACTTTATTCTTACAACTGCCTTGTGAAAGAGGACAAGCTGAGATTGTAACCGATGCCACCCAACGAGTTTCACAAGTGAGCAGGGACCCAAACTTTGATCTCCAACACACTCAGCCATACTGTGCGGCTTCCTTGCCCCCTCCTTTTATCCCCTTATCACCCCGGCCGGGCTCACCGTGTAATGCATGTGGAGCACGTCCCCCTTGCGGGATTTGATGGGGCAGTTGTCAACCCGTTTCTTCACTCCAATCTGGAGCTTCCGTTTCCCTTCGGTGCTCAGCGCCGGCAAACAAAGGGCCCACAGGGCCAAGGTGAGCAACCCCATTCCCGGGTTAACCTGCATGGCGGAAGCTCCTGCAGTGGCACACACAGGGGTCAGTTGAGAAGACTGTTTGTGGCAAAAACTCACACACCCCCGCCGCCATCATTACCATCACTCTTACTCCCCCACAGCAAGCAAGAAATAATTGGGAGGGATGATTTTGATGTCTTGCACGCACGTACAAAATGCGTTCTCTCTCTCTTGTTAGGTACGAGAGGAGAAACAAGGAAGAACTGCAATCTGTCCATGAACCCCACACATCATGCCAGCTAGGACTTAAAAAAAATGACTGTTAGGTGCTCCAATCCAGTACAACTACAAAATGAATGCCACTTACCTAAAGGTTGACTTAACAAGGCTTATTGACTTAATGGGTCTACTCTAATTAGAACTAACAGGATTTAGATAAATAAATGCAGAATAAATTATCTGTTTGTTTGTTGGCTTGAAATACTTATACCCTATCTTTCTCCTCAAGAGGATCCAAGGTGGCTTACCGTACTGTATTAAAATAAGTAACACAAAAGCTGGAAGGGGAAAACAACCACAACACAATCAGTAAGCATTTGCTTACTGTGGAAAAGCCTACCTCCAGAGAAAATGAATCGTTAAAATGAATAATTTCCCTCCTTGGCAGCACAGTTCTATGATTGCAAGTGGTGGATGGCTTTTCTTGCTTAACGGCACTCCCGAGGCCTATTTTGCAAGCGTTTTGGCTACTTCTCCTATGCAATGACACTTCTCCAACCAGCACTGAGCACATTTCAATCACAAAAATACCACACCCTTTATGGTGCCACAAGCTACAGGGAGAGGAACACGGAGGCCCAGTTTGGTGGTGGCAACCAACCTCACAGTGGCATGTGCCCCTAAGCTTCTGCGCAGAAGGGGACTCTTCATGCGTCTCTTCCGATGCTGCTGGATAGTGTCCCTCCCTGCCTTTGCCACTGGCTGATGGGAGCTGCCATGCAACACCATTAGAGGAGTTGCCCGTTGCCCATCCCTGCTGTGTGTTTCTGCAGGAACCGGGGCGTCCATCAAAAGTGTTCTAAATCTGTATTTTGAGAGGCAGCGTCGCTTTAAACCCAAATTACTGCCCCAAGCACCCCCCCAAAACTCTAAAAAGAGTTTTAAAAAATGAGTGCAAAGTTAACCTACGTTCTGTGCAGGTCTGGTTCCTACACAGCTCATGTCAGCTGCTTTAAATCTGAGATAAACACAGCATTGTTATTAACTATAAGGTGGTTATGGACAGATTTGGAGGTGGGGGAAAGGCCGCTGCTCAATCAAATACATGTTTTGAAGGCAGAAGTTCCCAATTCTCAACCCTCGGCATCCCTAGGTGGAAGGCAAACCGAGCAAAGAACCTGGCCTAAGTCTTAAATGAAGATCACAGGATTGGATGAAACCAGTGGTTCCCAAACTTGTGTCCCCAGATGTTCTTAGACTACAATTCTCGTAAATCCTGGCTAGTAGTTTTAGTCCAAGAACATTGGGGACTCAAAAGCTGGGGAACCCCTAGACTAAACAGATCAATGACCTGTCTGTGTGTGTGTGTGTGTGTGTGTGACTTTGAGTGGCCACCTGAAGGAGCAGGAGGGATCCTTGGAAACCAGCCCCACACCCCTGTCTCCTTTCTGTTCACACACATACACATGGCCCGGAACGCACAAAAAGGAGACTCCTCCCGCATTCTCGCCCATACTTCTCGCCCATGAATTCATGCACATTTTAAAAAAAAATTCTGAACACTCGTCCGTGCACTTCAGCGCGCCCACCCCAACTGCCACGTCACCCGGCTCCTACCCTGGCATGCAACAGCGCGCGGTCCGTGCAGGTTCCCCCCCGGGGAGCCGCCGGACCCCGACTTACCCGTGCAGCCAGAGGTGACTTGAGCTCAGCAACCTCCCCCGGGGAGGCAAGCAGCAGTGGCCACCAAAGTCCAGATTCTGGATACTGGGCTTTTTGCCACCCCGGGTACAAAGCAAAACAAAAAAAAACATCCAGCAAGGTCTCTTTGCTCCACTTTCCCCCTGAACCCTGCTTTCTCCGAACCTCTCGCCTCCTGCCAAATATGAGCCTAGCCTTTCCTCCTCCACCGCCTCCCCCCTCCCTCCCAGGTATAAGGCTGTCATATCTCCCTCCCCCAACCCGCCACCCTCCCCCAGGAACATCCCCTCTTAAGAGACCCCATACCCTCCCGCACCTTGCCCGCCCTTCCGAGGACCATCCTTATGGAAGGTCCACAGCCTGGCATCTTCCTCCTCCTCCTCCTCTTCCTCCTCCTCTTCGCTGCAATTGGTCACCTTGGCCCAGACCCACATAATGCCAGCCCCAGAGGGATCCCTCACCTTGTGCACCCAGACATCCTCGGGCTCCGGCTTCTCTCTAGGGATCCAGACCTGGCTCAGCGCTGGGGGGCAACCACCCACTCCCCTCGAGCCGGGCTCCCAGACCCCCTGCTTCTGGGGCTGGCAGGGCCCCTCGGGCAGCCAAGGCAGCCCCACTTTGTCCGGGGCCCTGGCCGGCTTGCGGGGCACCCAGACTTCCCGGGGGGCCTCCACGGCAACGGGGTGCCGGCCCCACCCCTCCTTCTGGACCCACAGGCCGGAGGAGGCTCTTCCGGGGTGCTGCTTGGGACCCCCTTGACCAGGAGGGAGGCCCCCCGAGAGGCTGCGGCTGACCCCAGGGCCATGGGGCCCTCCCTCCTGGGCTCCTCTCCCTCGGACCCTCCTGGGCAGGTCCAGCTCCCAAGCCTCCCTGCGGGACAACTGGGTCCCCACCTCTTTGGGGGCCCCCCTTCCCGCACCCACGGAGCGAAAGGCCTGGCAAGCCTCCCCGGGCCAGGAGACCCCTTTCTCCCGCCTGGCCGTCACCCTGTCGGGGGGTCCCTCGGAGCCCCTGGAGCCCCACAAGCTGGCCAGCCGGTCGAAGTCCCCGCTGCCCGGGCGGACCCGGTAGGCGCAGGAGCCCCCTTGGCCCGCCCTGGCCCTCCGGTCCCCCCTTCTCCCTGGGGGCTCGGGCGCCTCCTGGCTCCCCTCCTGGCCTGGGCCCCACGACACCTGGGTCCCCACGTCCTTGAGCACCAGCTTCCTCAGGCCCAGGGCGGCCCCGAGCCCGGCCAGCCTGCCCTCCTCTGCCTCGCCCCCTCCCCACTTGGGGGTCCCGGACTCCCGGGTCCCTCCGGCGAGGGCCTCCCTCCAGCCCGCCCCCTCA